CCTGGGTTTCCCCAGTGCCACGTTAACCCTTTAGCCACCTCCCCATAATGTTTCTCCGTGTTTCGATGGGGGGGGGTTCACTTCCTCCCTCATCCTAAACCAGGAGCCCCCAAACTATTCAGCTCATCGACCCCGTCATGAAGTTTCAGGTTGTTCACCGACCCCCAAGCATGTATTATATGAAAGCAATTTAATAAATACTACTTTAATAGTATTATGAATAATATCAACAACAGAGACAACAACAACAGAGACAACTCCAGGCCGCTCTTACTGGTGGCTGACCATCCAACCCTGGGTAATGCTGTCTCGCCACCTCACCTTCAAGACTAGGGGCTGGTGTGGAGCTGTACAGACACCCCAAAAGGTGAATTGACCTTAATCGACCACCTTTTGGCTCCAGACATTTACTGGCCCCCTTCTGACCCCCAGACATTATTGACCTCTTGTATAGTCCCATCAACCCTTGGGGTCAATATTGACCACTTTGGGGAACCCTGTCATAAGCCAAAGCTGAAGAAAATACGTGGTGGCTTAGCATAGCATACTTCCATACTTGGAAGATTCTGTTAACCTTACAATCTTGCAAGTATGAAAGTACACCTCCAGTCCCTCATTTTTACTCTCCCGAAAACTAAAGAGGGTCCCTCCTGAGATGCTTTTGCCACCTCTCTTCCTTCAGACAAAATAAATTTCGTTTATCTAACTGTTGTCTAGGCTGCAGCTCTTCCTCCTGTCTCCCAAGATTATTCCAACATATTCCAACTCTTTCCCTTTTAAAAAGACAAATCCAATAGAAGAGAATATCTGTAGCTCAGGGTTGAACTGCGGAGTTCTTGGGTCTCTCTGAGCCTGGTTGTTGGCTTGCAGATGCTTCATTACCTGACTAAGTAACACCGTCAGTGCTAGTGAGTGTGGGGTTTGTTGCCTGTTTATATGCAGGATCTTGCATATAAACATTGACACACTGTTCAAGAGAGACAACAAAAAACCTAGGAAGGAAACAAAAAGACTGCAATACGTCCCCTCCAGAATCCCACATTCGGATAAGCAGGGATCAGTACCAGACAAACAATCAGGCAGAAAACTACTCTAATCCAGGAACCACCAAGGAGGAAACTACACCTCCACCAAAACTGGCAGGGCAAGATACTGTGTATAAACAGGCAGCAAACCCCATACTCCCTCGCACTGATGTTACCTAGTTTGGTAGTGAAATGCCTGCAAGCAAACAACCAAGCCCAGAGAGACTCAAGAACTTCATAAAGGTGTTTAGCAGGAATCAGTCCTGCTCAGTTCCATAGAATCCACACTTCCAAGGAAGGTGTTACGGTGAAGTGTAGCCTTTGGCTCTCTGCAACAAGTAAGGTCACGGTTCCTTCAAAATAAACTATAGCGTACATATATATTAAGCCATCATGAAATAAATCACAGACATACATATGCACCCATTATGCTATTTGCCTTTTGGGGTAACATTGCAGAGGGCAGAAAAAGAACAAGACATAGTGTATTTAAAAGATTAAAAGCATGAGGTAAGAAAAACAAAAGGAAAAATTTACAACTAGTTGATGTTAATACTATTCACTATCTTTGTTTATCTTTGTTTGCTTCCACCATGGCCCATACATTGCTTCACATATTGCTTTTTCTTTAAATTTCTCACCTCTTTTTTCCAGGATTTTATCCACTCAATTCAATCATAGTTGGCATAGTCTTCCTCTCCATCTGTTCACACTTTGTGTATTTGTTTTGCAGTTCAGTCCTCATTTGTTCTCTCTATGCAACTGAATCATTTCAACACACTTATTTCACACTTTGCTCACATTCATATTCAGTCCACATTCATCTGGCACCCATTAATTGAAGGATTGGGTCAATTGTCTCTTCCTATCAATTTAACATTTCTTTTGACATACCCAACTCTCATTTTCATAGTACAAATTGGGCAGATGCATGCCTCTGTATGAAGCCACTTTTGTTCCTTTCAACAGACCACATCCTGTCCATTTGCACATCTTAAAATTTCTCCATTTTTCCATCACATAGAACTCATATTTTCTCTATAGTTCTACTTTCAATCTTTTTTCTTCATTTCTTTTCTTCCGTGTCCGTTTTTCCTAAAATCTGTTCTTGATACTACTTAGGAATGAACTATCCCACCTGCAGAGCTTCTCATTAACTTAGCATTCTATGCTATTTCTTTCATCAGAAACAAACCAATCATGCTTTTAAATTTATAATCACCCTTTCCCATTCCTTAGAATTACCCTTAAACCACATATTTGAAACAACATGTTCTAAGCTATCACTTGTTACCATCCTCATTCATTCTTGGGCCTTGCTTTATGTCAAACAAGTGACTCTGGGAAGCTAACAACTTAAAAAAAACAAAAACAAAAAAAACCACACCAAAGACAAGACAATTGGCAGCTGAGATTAAAAACAATCCAAAATAACCATTAATACAAATTCAACAATCTCAGTAAAACTAATTAACAGGCTTCAACAAACAATCCAACCCTCAAGCCTGGGAACACAGCCATGTCTTCAGGGCCTTGCAAAAGGCCAGCAGGGTCAAGGCCAATCTGTACCCTGAGGGGTGATATTCCATAGGGTAGGCACGATGACAGAAACGGCTTTCTTCCTGGGTCCCACCAGGTTCCTTAATTGCTGGGACCCATGCCTCTCCAGCTCAGTCTGATGGGACAGGTAGACAAGATCAGGAGAGGCAGTCCCATAAATACCCTGACCTCATGCCATGGAAAGCTGTATAGGCAATCACCGACATCTTGAACTTAACCCAGAAGCATACTGGTAATCAGTGCAGTTCACAGAACAGAGGTATAATATATGCAGATGGAGAAATGCCCATAACTACTTACACTGCTGAACTTTATACCAACTGCAGCTTCTGGGTGCTCTTCAAGGGCAGCCCCATGTAGAGCATTGTGCAATAGTCCATCTGGGACATGATTGTATTTATAGTTGTATTAGTTATGTTTGTGTGAATATTTATATAGCAATCAAAGTTCTTAAAGATTTTAAAGTACATAAATTTGGCTCAGCTTCATTAATAGCATTTTTGCTAAGATTAAAACATTTTACTTCAAAAGATCCTTGAGAGACATCTCAATAATATAGTAGTAAGAGAAATCCTGCAGTATACTGCAACGTGTTCTGAGTTTTATCTAAATCCTGTTAATAAAGAAATTCTGGTTAAACAAACACCACTCACAATATACTTTGTGGTGTCTCTACTGAACACATTGAGCCAACTTTACTTGTATCTGAGGTAGTGAGGATTATTATATTCTGGCTAAAGAGAACTTGTTGTATGCTGCTCAGTTGCTTTTTGTGAGATGGGCAGCCATACAACTTTGATTAATAAATAACAAATAAATTTAGTAATAAAATGCAACTCCACTAGGCTCTCCACTTGTGCTACTGAATCAGACAGAAATTGCTGTAGTATCATCTTATCCATCACAAATAGCTTTCAAATTTTCTGTCTAAAGACATGGCAAGTTGCTTGAGGATTACTACTTGTCTGTTGATTATAGTAGCACAAAAAATCTTTCAGTGGGTCTCTGGCAAACGTGTGAAAGATGTAACTACAACTATGTATGTAGGGTGTGATACTGCCTCTCAGCTAAGGAATCAAGGGATAACTGTAACTTACTTAAGGACTATTAATTTGGACATAAAAATCTAGTCATTATAATACACTGCCTTTAAGAGCACCATTCTTCTTAACAATTAAGTACATTTTTTCTGTATCATGACTTGATATACCAAATTTACCCATTCTTTGAGTTAAGCTCAACTCCTAATAAAGTATATGGACATGTGCCTGTTTTCTAGGCTATGATATGGAAATCCTTTGCCACTGCCTTCTGGTTTACAGCTCTGGGATTTTGCCGTACTGTTGTCTCCAATCCAAGTAACAACCAGGTTCAGCTCTACTTAGCTTTTTCAAGATCAGCCATGGACAGGTGCTGCCACCTGCCACTCAGTCCAATTCTTTGCCTTTGTACAGTACCCTGAATAAGCCAACCACACAGGCTGGGTTCACAACATAGTAAGCTAAAGCATGAGCGGTAAATATGGTAGTTCAGTGTGTTGTGTACACAAGGCCAGTATGTGCTAAACAAAGATTGGTCTTCCACTAAGCTTAGTCCAACCAGGTCCATCCATTAGATTCCTTAATGAATTGCAGGTTTAAATGAGGTTAGGCCAAAAGGTCAGCCAGTTTACAAGTGGACTGACCAGGTATGACTGGCCTCTGGGCACAAATGTGATAGCTACTTCATAACAGTGCTCTCCTTTATACAATGTAATATTTTTATATTAAAGCTAATGATGTCAGGCTCCTTCTCACACACTTCCATAAATTCTGAAACTGTCAGAAGAGTTTCATAATGTCTATCAAACCACAGTTCAGAAGTGTTGGCCACGCATTCTACTTGTGCATGGCTCCTTACAGCTGGGATCCAATTCTTCTAGCTTGATCAATAAGTAGAAGATATTTCTGTTCAAATACAATTACATGAGCTAAGATTAGCTATGCAGGGGCAATTCAGCTTCTTCACAGTATACCAAAATTATGAAGAATATGTCAGATACACGTGTCATATCTACAAAGAGAGATACTGCAGTCAAAAACTAGGCTGAACCTGCAATTTCATACTTGAAAGAACCAGAGTAAGTCAGAACCCTAAAGAGTTTACAAAGTTTCTCCTTCAGGAAGTTTGTCTGAAGAATCCATTCTGATGAATCTTGGATTAATTTTCAGAATCAATTTTCACAAAGGACATTGCATAGAAACAAGCCTATTAGTGTATTAAAATCAAATCATAACATTTAATACAATTTTTAGAAAAATAAGAACTGAGGTATATAAAGAGAGTTACAGTCAAGAACACTATAGGTTTAATGTTGAATACATACTAGAAAACAGAAGCCTTTTCCTCAATACAAAATTAGTTCAATGGAAACCAATGCTTTAGTCAGAATTGGGATTCAATGCAGTTATTATGCGTAGGGGGTGAATCAGTAAAACACCAGACAAATTTCTACAGAGCAGTGAAAACAAATTAATTGAATTTATTATACATACTATAGAGATTGAAAGCTGTAGGGAGCAACTGAAATCTTCATTGTCTCAGCTTATGGAATGCATTAAAGAACTTATCAGACCAAGCAATTCTTAATGTGGCCTCTGCATACACATGTGCACACATACATTCTTGTGATAACGGGCAAGTCGATGGAGCAGAAGTGGGAAAATTTGTATCACTTGATTACACTATTACTGAATACTGGGGAAGAGTTTGGAGGCTACTATCTATTTTGAGTAGAGACATACTTGAGCATTACTAATCACTGCATAAAGCAGATTGTTAGGCTGTAGTGCAGATCTCTGAAAAAGGTATCAAATGGTAAAACTCATATTATACAGTATATATACAAACTTAACAGCTTTATCTTGTTGGAATAAGCTGCAAATTAGATGTCCATTCTCTCTTCTGAGAAATTATTACTGATCAAACTATTTGCATCCTTAATAGAATACCAACCTATCTTCAATTGCTGAGGTTTATTAGAGACAGAGATTCATTATCACAGCAGACTGGTACTGGAGTAGATATTCTCACAATCACTCAGCTTATGTTCTCCTTGTATTCTTAACATTTGCTCAGTCATATCAATAATACAAAAATATAACTTGTAACCAGGGGAATGGAATGTTTAGATTGATATATTTAATATCTACTTATACATCAGACCAATTCAGCTTACTATAATCTGCAGCAAATCAAAAACCCATCAAGTCATTTTCTGTTAGGAAGTCATTTTAGGCTAGTCAATAAGGTCTACCCTTTCCTCTTATAAAAAAATAAACTGAATGTTTATTAGAACAGCTTCCATTAAAGTCATTTAATGTCACGTGTTCTCCTTGAATCAGTTATAGGGTTATTCTCCTCAGTGTTACATCTACAAAGTATATTTACTGGTGTTGGTTTCGGTGCTCACAGCATTCAAATTCCAACACCACTGGGACATAAAATTGAAGTTGATTACAGTAAGAATAGATTTCACATCATTACTACTCAGACAAAAGAAAAAATATGGCAAAGTATCTTGTTTCTTTAGAGGAGATCTGACAAAATAGCCCTTCCAATAAACTTGAAATTAATTCCAAATTATCTAAACCTGTCACCCATACAGCTAACAGCAGATTAACTCAAACCAGTATAAAGTAACTTTTTAAAATCTGAGATGTAGCAAGACTCTGTCCAATACCTTTGAAAATCAGGCCATGTTGATTTACTTTTTAAGTTGCATGGATGATGTTGAGTTTACTTGTAAAAGAAGCCCAGCAGAACTTTTTTTATTACTGTCAGAGACTTTCCTTGGAAAAATCCAGTGTATCTATTGCCTAATATAATAAAGTCAAAACTCAAACTTCTTTACAGACAGTCCTTCAGAGTGAGAATGTCAAGTAATTAAGTCTGAGACCTTAAGACAGACAAAAGAGTATTTTTGTTAATTTTTATACATAGTTTAGGTATCCAATTATATCTAAGACCTATGATAGCTTTTGCTTTACTATTTATAATATACAATGACAAAGCACTCTTATCTTACAAGACATACTTATCATGAATAATGATAGTACATATAAAATCTAACCAATGCCACCTTTACTTCTTAATCTAAAAAAAGTTTGTATTCCTGTTTTTTAACTACTCCTAAAATAGCAGATGCTGTTTTTATATGTTGGAGGCCTCCAGTAGCAGCACAGTTGTATCCATAATTTCATGTTTTAAACTTCCTGCATTTCATTTAAATATAAGAGATCTTGAAATGTGCTGAAGAAGAAATACAGGTGTTGTAAGTCCCTATACATGGTGATCTAAAAGTAGCTTAATATGTTTAAATTTAGTCCCTTGAAGTAAGTAGAACTTCCTTGTTTCAGATAAGCTATTTTGTATCTATAGTATATATTTATATTGAACACTATAGAAATTAATAGGGGAAAATGCACTGGTAAAGCTGATCCACCATAGTCCTTTAATAGTTCCCAGATTTTAAACATACAAGTCTGTTACTTTTCACTAAGGAGGTTTGATTCAAATGAGTATTATGACTTTCCAAGAGACAGAATAATTTGTGCTTGCAGTTGGCACATTTTTAAAAGTGTACAGTTAACAGATATTTGCAAAAATTGTGCAAAACTATCTTATTTACAGACATGGCACAAAAGTGAATGCAGTCTATGCACATGCACACTTCATCCACTTTAAAAATGTGTTCTATGCTACAGGACCAAAAAGAATACCAGCTTCAACAGGCAGTTGTCAATAAGCACTAAGTTTACAAGAATTACACCAAAATGAGCAAATATTGCTCAGGTAAAAATCTATTGTTAAAGCTGAAGTAGGTTTAAGGCCATTCAAGTTCAAGAGTAGATACACAAATTAAGTGAGAGCCCCATCATTTTTAATACATGCTTTACCTTCTAGCAACTTACTATCTAAAACCTCTAGTTTACAAAACAAAACACAAGGAAAAAAAAAGACCTTGTATTTGATACAAACATACTAACTACACTGTAATTAAAGTGAACTAAGGAACGCCAAAACATTAAAAATTCTCAAACTTGCTATGTCACTTGCTGGAACCAGCCCTACACTAGCACACAAGTAATATGTACATTTTTCAAGTAGATTACATTGCTCTAACAAAACATGTCCTTTTTTTAAAAAAATCAGTGCATTGTTCTCAACTCATCCAAGGACTACACAATTCTTAATTGGACTCTTACAATAGCAGCACACGCTACCACTACCTGCCAAGCAGTCAGTCAATGACTTAGTGGAAACAAAAATGTGAGGAAAAAAACTTAAGGAAAGATTAAGGGAATAAGAAGTTTCATGCAGTTCTGCCAGTCTAGTCAGCCAGCCAGCTTGCTAGCAACAAGAGATGGTTTCCGCTGTGGAAGGTCCTGTGGAGTAGGAATGTGGTCACCTGTGACTTCAGTCTTATCGGGAGCTGCAGTAGGGAGCTGCTTGTTCTTCATCTTTGCTTTTGCCATATTGTAATCTCCAGAATCAAAGTACTTTTGCTGCAAGATAAATTTATCAAGTGAAATACAATAGAAATATAAAAGTACTTCCCTCAAGAATTACATACATGCTTCATAGATCTAGGCTAATTTAATCGATGCATATATAGAAAGTCTAAGCTGATATTTGTCTGGAAAATATCATCAAATGTAGACAGAATCTGTTAAAATGGAGAATACTGATTTTGTTATCACTTGATATTTAGAATTGCTTAAAACATCCTGTTCACAGTAATGAATAGGGTATTTAGCATCGCAATCACATGCCAAGAACGCATTCATTATGAGCAAAATGCATGAAGTATCACAAAAGGGGGATCTTTAATATTCATTTGCATCCTTGAAGAGAAATTAAATACATTGATATTCTGCATGCTATTCTAATAGGATACAGGTTTCAGTTTCAGAACAATGAAATAATGAAAGTACAGGATTAGACCTAGGAATGCAAAGGCTCAATTCTTTCTTATCTAGTAACCTCACTCATGAGCTTGGACATATCACTATCATTCAGTCTAAACTATGTCACGTTCGTTACATGGACAGGGATGGTGAATGGTATGTGTCAATCACATCTCTTTAATATATAGATATATATATAAATACAAATAAATAATGGACAGAGGTCAATGCCACTGATACACATACCCAGTATTTTCATTATTAAAAACTTAGTTTGGGGAACACAGCTGATTTTCATAAAGCAGCAATATACTTCATAACATATGTTAATAATTTATGGTAAATATGTTATCTAAGATACAAAAATTTCTGTTGAGGGAGGGGAAGAATATCCTTTGTGAATGTTGTGCTTCCTAGTGAATCTGGTTTCAAGAAAATCAATCTTTGTAATTGGCAACTTAAAAACACAGTCTTGCAGGAAGTTTACTGAGATGCAATAGAAATTGAATGAAAATAATTATTAAAAATCAAGGCCAAGATACCTGAAAGGGGTATCTAAGACTAAAACCTACTTTAAGGTTACTTGTGTGAGCTGTTCTGGTCAGTTAAATGCATCCTAATCTAAGGAAGTTGCTAATTTAGAGTACATTTCCTAGCAATTTTGCTGACCTCTGAATAAAGCAAGACAGTTAATTTCAGAAAATTAAATTTTTAATTCAACTGCTAAACAGTTGCCCATCTAATTATATTGCTATTGTCATTTCTAGTTTTGAGGTGTTATAGAGGTTCAAGCACTATAAAAATATGTTAACACCACAATTTTGCATTGTATTATGAACTCTGAAACTAGATGAGATAGTATGTTCTGGAATAAACAAGCTGTTTACACACTTTATTTCCAGAGCGTTAGTGAGGGCTGGCTTTGTCATTATGACATAACTGATTTTTAAGAATGAAACAGATGCTCATCTGGGACTGAAATTTAATTGAAATAATTAGGTCTTCCCTCCTCAGAAAACTTTTGGGATTCAAAATGTTATTTTTTAAGTAAAGATCATAACCACATATGCACAGCTGAGTGATACAGAAAGACAGAGCAAAACATTTCCCTTTATTAGCCAGGCTAGCTTTATAACGTACGCTCACTCACTCCTTTCTGAAGCCGCTTCCTCAAAAAATCTGAGCCCCCAGGCTTTTGGCCCAGATGAGGGTATCTGGCTTTCAACTTTGCTTCTTCAGCTTTCTCGGGACTAATCACCTTGTCTTCCATCTCCTACAGATACAAGAAAATGGCATTTTATTACACTGTTTTGCGATTTCACAATTCATAATTTAATACCCTACTGGATTAAAAAGTATATGGTAACCCAATCACACGTCATGATTGTTTCTTTAGATCGATGATGTAAGGGTTATGTTCATGATTTACAGAAACGTAACTTGTAAAAGCCAACTGCACTATATACTTTGAACATACCATCGACTATAACATTGCAATAGTAGGCATAATATACCACCAACGTGAACCAATCCGTAACAGTATTATAAGAGCCCTACTTACAAGACTGCACTCCAATGCAAGTCAACACAATCCGATCATTTTGACTTCTGTCACATTACAAGCCAAGGTACTACCAGGTAAATATGAACAAAACAACTATTTTCGCCACTTTCTGCTCATGGAACACGGCCCAGGAAGGTTTTGTACTGGAACACAGGCGGTGACTGTAGGGACGCTCGACCCCCTTCAGAACGCAGCTTTCATCCTTAAAGCTATTTAAATCCAAGCACTGAGCAAACGCAAAGATGTAAACGCAAGATACGGTCGACGGGCTACCTTGAATCACAGGAGGCCGCGGGACGTGGTCTTAGCATCTGATCCTCACTCTTTAGCTTGCGGGGGGGGGCTGCGCATTAGAGCCCGATGAGGTCACAGTCTCGCCTCGCCTGCTGCAATCAGACGCCACCGGCTCCCGCAGCCACGGGGGACCACGCCCACCGAGGCTCCCGGGAAATCGGTCCCGCTCTTCGAGGGAGCAACATCCGGAGTTACTCCAACGGCGCGGGGATCCGGAAACTGGGCGGGGGGCGGCGGCTAAAACCGCAGAGGCTCGGTCGCCGCGGCGGCGTGTGGGCGTGTATCCCCTTCCCCGCTTTCTCGCGGGGGCGGGCGAGGAAACTGCGCCTCGTGGACGCCGGTGGGGGGAGCGCTTACCTAAGGGAAGACCGGCAGGGGAAGAGAACAAGCGCTGCCTG